CTCCTGGCCAAGACATTAGCTCTACCATGATTGGAGTTGTCACAGTCAACAGCAAATGGGAATTACAAAGTTATGCTATTCGGCAGCCTAGACAGGGGAGACTATGAGAAGAGGTTGTATATGATGAAAGACCACAGAGACAAAAAAGGAAGGGAGGGAGGGAGAGAGAGAGGGAGAGAGAGAGGGAGGCAGGAAGGGAGGGAGTAAAAGAGAAACAAAAACCAATATATAGTAGCTCAAGAATATCAGGAAGAAGAGGATGATAACAAGAGACTCTGAGAGGAGGAAGCCCATTCTACAGAGGGCCCATGGAGGTGTGTCTCTCTCGTATGAAGGTTAATCTGGCTGCTAACTTGATCATACAGGGACCAGCCAAGAGGTATGCTGCTTTTGTTAATGTTACTATAGCTGTGATGAAACAGCTTGAGGAAGGAAGGCTTTATTTGACTTACACTTCCATATCTTTGCTCATCACTGAAGGGAGTCAGAACCCAGACTCAAACAGGGCAGGAGCCTGGAGGCAGGAGCTCACGCAAAGGCCATGGAGGGGTGCTGTTTCTGGGATTGCTCCCCCTAGCTTGCTTAACCTGTTTTCTTATAGAACTCAGGGGTAGCCCCACCCACTGCACTGGACCCTCCCCCATCAATTACTACTAATAAAATGCACTACAGGCGTGCCTGCGGCCGGCTCTTATGGAGGCATTTTCTCACTTGAGGCTCCCTCCTCTCAGATGACTCTAGCTTGTGTCAAGTTGACATAAAACTAACCAGCACACAGGCCGGCTCTAAACTGGTCTGTAAAAGTAATCCCTAGAAGGACTAACTGAAGAGGAGAGACCCTCTCTGAAACTGGGCAGCACCTTCCAGCTACAGCCCAGATGTGAAGAGGTCTGGGGAGATAGCAAGGCTGTGATAGCATGTTTACCTTCTGTCTCTGATGGTGAGTGCATAAACCTTGTTGACCCGCTACTGCACCACACCTCACTGCCTTCTAAACACAACTTCCTCCTAACATCGCCTGAAGAACCTCAGTTCTCTAGGAATCACCCAAGACTTCAGCAGTGCTGGAACTGCTGCATCGTCCAACCTCACAAATTGGGCAGATACTGAGTTCTCAGCCTTCCCGGCATGCAAGTAGCCATTGTTGGACAACCCTACCTGAGCCACGTAAATCAATGTAATAAACCCCTTTTGATTCTGTTTCTCTTTAAAAAAAAAAAAAAAAAGGAAGGAAGGAAGGAAGAAAGAAAGGAAGGAAGGAAGGAAGGAAATAAAAACAAACCCTGACACCCAGTCTCGTGCACAGCGTAGCTGAACATTCTAGAATTGGGCCTATCTTTTAGAGGCAGAAAAATGTGGGAGATATGGAGGTCTTTCTGGTCACAGGTATGCACCATGGGAGCCAGGAATGTTAGACACAAAGGGAGGGATGTATAATCTGTTTTCTGCCAAGTTGGCTGGGAATGAACATGGTCAATAGCCTGGTGACTTTGTGCTATCTGAGACCACACCAGATCCTCCCCCTGCTTATCACGAGCTTGTCAATCTATAGAATATAGGACAATACAAAGAGTTTTGAAGTAGTCATGTCTTAAGTTTTATTGTGAGCATGGGATTGAGTTAGTACCAGGAAATTTTTCAGATTATGTTGTGCTTAAATATGCATAAACTAAACTACTTGGGGCCAGACTCTGGAAGTTTGACCCCCACACTGGCTACTTAGTCATATTGAACTGAATTACCTTCTCAGCTTGTACAGATTGTAATTCCACTGGTCATGGTGGTCGCAGAGACCCTCACAGGCAAAGACTGTGAAGAGTGTCCCTCTCCTTAACTTTCACCCTTTTTATCTGAAATTTACTGGAAAACACAATTGGAAGGCTAGATAATGACATACACGAATGCATATGAAGCATTGTAAAGGTAGATGACATTTAAATTTTTCCTCAAATCATCAGGCTTGCAAATGTCAACGTAATCTATTGAACACCATGTCTCCACAAACTCCCACTCATTATTCACTGTGATGCTGATCTTGAGTTCCAAAGCAGGGGAAGAAAAGGGCAAGCTCTTAATCACCGTTTCTATAGGATGTATCTTTTTTTTTTTTTGTAAATTCCACAATTTTTTTGTTTTTGTTTTATGGGTGTGTGAGTTGAATAGTTTCAATTTTTTTATTTTAAAAATAACAACTACTGTGGGGCGGTGGTGGCGCACGGCTTTAATCCCAGCACTAGGGAGGCAGAGGCAGGCGGATCTCTGTGAGTTCGAGGCCGGGCTGGACCAACAGCCTCCAAAACAATACAGAGAAACCCTGTCTCATAAAAAAAAAAAGTAATGACTACTAAGCCAGGCATTGGTGGCAAATGCCTTTAATCCCAGCACTCGGGAGGCAGAGGTAGACTGATCTCTGTGAGTTCGAGGCCAGCCTGGTCTACAGAGCGAGTTCCAGGACAGCCTCCAAAGATACAGAGAAACGCTATCTCCAAAAACCAAAAAAAAAAAAAAAAAAAAAAAAAAAAAGTAACAGCTACTATATTAGTTGGGACTCTCTAGAGAAACAGACTAATAGCGTGAATATATATACATAAAATGTATTAAATCAGCTTATATCTAAATAATAACATCTCATAACTGAAAAATTTAGGAGGCTGAAGTATGAGGATTGCCGAGAATTCAGGCTAACTTGAGTTACAAAGAAAGATCTATATCATTAAAGAAAAGGAGAAGGGGGAGGGAGGGAGGAAGGGAGGGGAGAGGGAGGGAGGGAGGGAGGGAAGAGTGGGGAGAGAACTCACTGGGTAAAGCACTTGTTGTGAAATGTGGAAACCTGAGTTCAAGTCTGCAGAACACATGTAAATGCTGGGTGTGGTAGCACACATCTGTAATCCCATAGCTCTTATGATTAGATGGGAAATGGAGACAGGAGACTCCCTGGAAACTTATGGATCAGTGTTCACAGTGACAAACAGTGAAAAACCTTACCTTAAATGAAATAGAAGGACTGACACCCAAGTTTGTTCTCTGCTACATTTCATAACTTGTAACATTTTCAAACATGAATGTATACACGCATGTATGTTCACACATTATACATACACACATATCATACACACACACACAATTTATTAAATCACTTATTTTTTGGATTTTTTTCTGAATTAAATAGTTTATTTAAAAAAAGAAAAGGGTGGTTATTTTCGCAGTAACATAGTTGTAGGATAAAGAGGCAGCACTGTCTCCTTTCATTAACCACGTTTGCTTTTTCTTTTGCACACAGATAGCTAATGATACAAAAACAAGTCAGAAGACTTTCTCCAAATACTAGTAAATACTAAGTTTTACAGGCCACATATGGTCACAGTCATGAATGTCTTTTTAAAATTAAAAAAAAAATTAGTTTGTCCTATACAAAAAAAAAAAAAAGTACTGGGCTAAACTTGGCTTATGAGTGGTAGTCTTCTAACCCTGGTATAAAATATCTACTGTATTTTGGTAGAGAAATTGTTCTCTTGAGGCTTTTGCCAGCTGTTGCCCAAAGTCAAGTAAAGAAGGACTTTATTTACAGCTGGGTGTGGCTGTGACAGAAGGACTGGAGAGTCTCTGCTCATCCTTGACTCTCCCAGTTTGTCTGCTCTCTCATTTCACAAGTTTGTTAACCAGCAACTCTACATCTTGTGTTAGCAAAATTTCAGGTGTTTCTCTAAAAGAGTAATTCCTTCGGTTTCTCCAAACCAGGAATTATTAGGTCTTTTTTTTTTTTTTTTTTTTTTTTTTTTGGTTTTTACGAGACAGGGTTTCTCTGTATTGTTTTGGAGGTTGTCGGTCCAGCCTGGCCTCGAACTCACAGAGGTCTGCCTGCCTCTGCCTCCCGGGTGCTGGGATTAAAGGCGTGTGCCACCACCGCCACTGCCCGGCGAATTATTAGGTCTTAATACTCATGTTGCAGGTGTGTCCAACATGAGTATAGCTGTAAATTCAGCCTAACACAAAATCATAAACTTACTTTAAGAACATGATTTTTTTTGCAAATTTTAAAAAAAAGTTATGTCACAATATCAAAAGGTTGGACATACCTGCAGAATAAATCAAGATTAAAGAGGGGAATCAAAGGAACTCATGAGTTATTTAGCTAACAATGGTAACCTTATATCCCAAATTGACACATACTTTTTTTTTTTTTTTTTTTTTTTTTGGTTTTTCGAGACAGGGTTTCTCTGTGTTGTTTTGGAGGCTGTCCTGGACACATACTTCTTAAGTCATAAACTACATGAAAAGTATGTAGTTCTCTACTTTAAAAGATACTTGATTCTCCCATAGGTTAAGTTTTTCTTCAGTACTGGGTATCAATCCCAGGGCCTTGTGTGCTAAGCAGGCACTCAACACAGCTACAGTTTGAGCACAGCTCTATCTCACCCCAAATACCATCTTCCACTTTCCTAATCCAATGTCCTATAAAATCTGGATCTAGGCTCTTCATTAGCTATTTCAGCCATAAAATATTGCTACTACAAGCCATAATCCTAAAGCTGAGAAACCGAGTTCAAGGCCAGCCTAGACTGCAAAAGGAGACCCTGTTTCAAAACAAAAACCACTACATTTTGAGGCAAATATTGCCGCAGGAGCAATTTGCACTCCTCCTTTTTTTTTTTTAAATCTCAGAAAGAATGATCATGTTTCCTTCAAGATGTTAGCTTTCTGAATCTGGCTAATTATACAAAGTGAGGGAAGACCTTTTTTAAAAAGTCAGAAGAGCACAGGATTTCAGTACTAAAATAGAAAGGTTACCCTAATTCCAGATCTTTGGTAAAGATACTAACTAGAATTGATTACCCACACCACCAACCTGGCACATTTTGTAGTTTCAAGTGATTGATTCTTTCTGCACATGTAAACGGAGGGAGAAAGCCTTAGGAAATTTTGGGAAATGCATTAGACTTAGTTCTCTTGAATACAGACGCACAATCAATTCACGGGTGGAAGGAACAGAGTGGCCGAGGTTATCGCTTGCGTTCCCTTCTCTGTGTCCGTTTCTGTTCCTTCTCCTTGCGCTCCTGCTTGGCTAGTTTGTCCTTCTCCCTCTGAAGTCTGGCCTGTTCCTTCTTCCTTTGGGACTCATCCCGAAGAGAGTCTCGCTCCAATTTCTGAGCATTTAGAACATCTTCCACGTTGGTGTTTCGGAACAGAGATTTATCAGAACCGATGTTTGTTGTGGAGCAGGCACCCGGATCATCTTTCTCATCCGCTTCGTCTTCTTCGTCTGTCACGTCGGCATACTGGGCCAGCAGGGCTGCTTTCCTCTGCCTCTCCTCTTCAGACACCATCCTGGGCTTCACCACGATCTGTGCCTGCTTCTCAATCAAGGTGGCGATGGCCTGGACATCATCTCCTTTTTCTGCTTTGGGGGTGACAGTCTGCGTTTCTGACCATCGTTCCACAATTTCCTTACAGTGGTCAAGGAGGGAATCTTCTTCCAGGAAAGCAGAGAGGATACTCTGCAGGGCGTCCAGCTTCTCTCCCTCCTCCTCCTCCTGGAGGACACCAAGAATGTAAGAGCCGTACACAGCTCGGTCCACTCCCAGAGCTTCCAACCGTCCGTCCAGCCAGGATCCAAAACTCCCGCCATCACCTTCACCGAGGACTGCCGCGGCCACTTCACTGGGCACCGCCATGCTGGAGACAGGGTCCTGCCAGCGGATTTATTATATATACAGCGTTCTGCCGGAATGTGTCCCTGCATGCCAGAAGAGGGCACCAGATCTCATTACAAATAGTTGTGAACCACCAGTGGTTGCTGGGAATTGAACTCAGGACCCCTTGAAGAGCAGCCAGTGCTCTTAACCTCCGAGACATCTCTCCATCCCAAATCACTTATTTTCTAAACACTGTACTTACTCCAACATCTTGGGGGATTACTTTCATTTTGTAGAGGAAACCAAGGAATACGGAGATAAACATAGCAGACAACAAATGACTGAAAAGTAATGGATGTAGAATTTGAACCCAAGTCTATTAGATTCCAAAGCCCAGGTTCTTAGCCACTTTCCAGTGCTTCTTAATCAGTGTCTGTGATTAATCATTTGCCTTTGAACTAACCATAGTAAAATGTACTTTTTACCTTAAAATTCCAGAAATTATCTTTACTCATCACACCCACATTATGGCAAGTTATAGATCTCTGTGAATAGGTGGTGCTCAATGTTGCTAAGAAAGTGCTATGCCCAAATTAGGTTCTTAATAAATGCTTGTGAATGGATGGATAGATGGATGGATGGATGGATAGACAGAGATGGTCAGATGGATGGACAAATGGATAGATGACTAAGTCAATATATCCACGTATGAATTAATAAATCTAACTATAATCTACATTATTTTAAATTAATCTCCTTAAATAGAGGAACCATCCAATTAACCACTGACGCCATGCCCAGCAGCAGATCCTTGGCACTCACCATGTGGTCATGTAATGTATAGGAAGAATAAGGAAATAAGTAATGGTACTGAAAGCAAAATTATTCTGATGTGTAACATGATAAATAAAAGACCCAGAGACAGCCTGGTCTACAGAGAGAGTTCCAGGACAGCCTCCAAAACAATACAGAGAAACCTTGTCTTGAAAAACCAAAAAAAAAAAAAAAAGACCCAGAGACAGATATTGGAGTTCAGACTTCAAGCTGAAGATTAGAGAAGCAAAGCAGTCAGTCACTAGCTCTTACCTCTATGTCAGCTCAGACCAAAGGGGCTATCCTCAGACTGCTCCCGACTTCACTGCTCCTCGGATTCAGACTGCTATTCTCTCCTCAATGTGGCTAGAGACTAACTCTCAGGCTGAATGCCTCTACCATTTATACTTCCCAAATTCTGGGATTAAAGGCGTGAGCTCTGATTCACTCTCGGGTAGCTCAGAGAGTGATCTTGAACTCAGAGATCCATCTGCCTTTCTCCTGAGTTCTGGGATTAAAGGTGTGTGTCATTACCGCCTGATCGCAATAGCGTGAGACTGACTGTGCTTTCTGAATCCTCAGGCAAGCTTTAATAAGTCATAAATAATATATCAACACTTTGATGATATAATTTGTTTGTTCTTTTTTATTTTCTTTCTTTTTTTTTAGATAGGTTCTTACTAAGTATTCCTGCTAGCCTGAAACTTACTATGTTGACCAGGCTAGCCTCCAATTCAAAAAGATATGCCTGCCTCTGACTCCTGAGTACTGGTATTAAAGGTTAATAGGATTTGAAATAAAATTCATTTCAATATCTTTTTGTGGTGAACCAGCCTACCTCCATCTGAGGCTTATAAACCATCTTATAGTAAACACAAACTAGGCTCGGCCCTCTTTATAATTAAACCTATGTTTCTTAAGGATTGCTGTATGCCCAACTATAATCTTAACTACAAATGGTTCTGTACTATCCGTTCCAGGAAACCATGTCTTTGTTTCAAAAAGTTGTTATTACTACCTATTGTTATGACTTCCTTATTGTGTTGTTATGGCAACCTTGTTATGCCCACCTTGAAACCATGTATTTGTTTCAGGAGGTCTTTTTTTTTTTTTTTTTTGGTTTTTTTTTTTTTTTTTTTGAGACAGGGTTTCTCTGTGGCTTTGGAGCCTGTCCTGGAACTCACTTGGTAGACCAGACTTGGTCTGGAACTCACAGAGATCCACCTGCCTCTGCCTCCCAAGTGCTGGGATTAAAGGCGTGTGCCACCACCGCCCGGCTCAGGAGGTCTTTATAACTAACTTATGCTTATGTTCTGCTCCTATAACCTTGCCTATTTTGCCCACCAAATCCCCCATTTGGAAACTCCCTACCCTGAGCTATGAAAACCTTGTCCTTCTTATGTCCAATGCTGACTTACCAACCCCCACCTTGGGGGGAAACAGCCCATGTACATTAATTTTAAAAAGATTGCTTTAATTAATATTTAGCCATATGATTTGGGCTGGGTTCTTTCACTTGAATCCAGAGCTCATAAATGTATATAATCTAGCTAGCCAGCTTGCTCCACCTCCCACATGCTGGGATTATAGTTGGTTCCCGTGGGCTTTCTGACCTGTGATCTTTTCACTAGTTTCTGCTAGTTCTGCTAGTTCCCAACTCTGGTCATTGCCCTTGCATGACAAGGGTTTCCCACAAAGCTGTATCCCCAGGCCCCAGTATCTTTCCATTTCATTCTACCCTCTTTATTTATTTATTTATTTTGGTTTTTCAAGACAGGGTTTCTCTGTATTGTTTTGGAGGCTGTCTGGAACTCACTCTGTAGACCAGGCTGGCCTCGTCTGCCTCTGCCCCTCTGCCCCTCTGCCCCTCTGCCCCTCTGCCCCTCTGCCCCTCTGCCCCTCTGCCCCTCTGCCCCTCTGCCCCTCTGCCCCTCTGCCCCTCTGCCCCTCTGCCCCTCTGCCTCCCGAGTGCTGGGATTAAAGGTCTGCACCACCAATGCCCGGCAAGGAGAGGTTTTTTTTTTTTTTTTTTAAAGAGAGTAGAGGCTGGGCGGTGGTGGTGCATGCCTTTAATCCCAGCACTAGGGAGGCAGAAGCAAGCAGATCTCTGTGAGTTTGAGGCCAGTCTGGTCTACAGAGCGAGCCTGCAAAGCAATACAGAGAAACCCTGTCTTGAAGAAAAAAAAAAAAAACCTCTCCTCTTGGGCTCACACTGTATCAAAGACACCCACCCCACCCATCTGAAATAATAGTGTGCTGGTCACTCCTTTGCTTCCTGCTCACTGATGGAAGAGCCTGGGTTATGCCTCTCGATTCCTCAGGTCTACAACCATTATCCTCAAAGATTTTATAGTAACCTTGGGTCACAGTCCTCCTGCTTCCTGATAGTACTCTCCATTCTTCCACGGGGGCTCAGGGCCATAGTGAAAACCTAGCTTTCCACCCCCTGTGAATTTATCATTTCACAAAGGGCACATTTAAATATCCCATTCTCAACCACAGCTCCCTCCTTCCACTGTTCCTGCCTGGTTCCCGTGGGCTTTCTGACCTGTGATCTTTTCACTCCTTTGATTTTCCTCATGTTCATTTATTTGTCCTCCCCTTTCATCCCGGCTTAGATGCCCAAGCCCATCATTAAAATCATCCTACTACGAAGGATGCTGGGCCTAATTGCCTTTCGCTTCCACAGCATCTGCCTACCCAACGTCAGTCCTGAATGAACACCACCATTCACCTCCCTTGTGTAAGGGCCTGCCCACCTGAGTGTTGGCAGAGAAACTGCAAAACCAATTCAGATTGGTAACATAATGCCATCTTAATTACAGCGTTCCGTGGGTGAGCTACACCGCCTGGAAATCTTAACTTTTGTTCTCTCGAAAGCCTGAGATCCCTTTGTCTGCAATTGGCATTTCTCTGACTCACCCTTAGAAGATGATTTGCTGCAGACACTGTAGGACTGACCTTGTTTGTAGAATCCTAACTATATTTAACTGTCATACAATCTCATTTAGTCTGAGCTCAACCGTTTGTAACCTGAGTTAAACAAACCCCAGAGGAGTACAGGGGCATTCAAGGGAATACAGGCACACATACTCAATTACATTGTGCAAAGCTTTATAAATTCTTAATTGATCCATCTGAAAATGTTCCCATAAACTGTTCTCACCACCCCCCTTCTCAGTTCTGTTTTATTGTTCTTATTGTTGTCATTGATTTTTTTTTTGAGCTAGGGTCCCGACTGGCCTGCAACTCACTGTGTAGACCAGGCTAGCCTCCAGCTTAGAGAGATTCTTGCAGCTGCCTCTGCTTTTGCTTCCCAGAGTTCTGGCATTAAAGGCATGCTCCACTGCACCCAGCCCATTTTGTTGCTGTTTTTACTTTAAAGAAAAAGTGCATACATTTGATTCCTCTGACATTTTACTGTGACATGCTATCCAATGGTGTAAAGTCGTGGAAAAAAAATAGTAATTCAAGAGATACTTTAAAACTTGTGTGTGTGTGTGTTTCTTCTTCCTTTCCTTTTTTTTTTTTTAATTGAGACCTACTGTTTCTCCATAATCCAAGCCGCCCTGTACTTCATATGTAACCCCTTGGATTGTGTCGATCCTCCTGCCTCTCAAGCTCTGGGACTACAAGAATGACTCAACACGTGCATCTTCCAGGGCTGTTTCTAAATATTAATGTCACTGAAGCTTTCTTTAACCAATGCTCTGCAAGCCCATGGCAAGGATTCGTGTCTGTTCTGTAAGGGAATATCTAGCCTAAATGAAGGTGTTTTGAGTCTGCATATACTGTAAGATATGGCACAGACAGTGCAGGCAATTTTATTGCTGGCTCATGAGCATGAGAACCAACGTTATGAGAGATCCATAAAACAAAAAACGCCTCTAACCTGTAAGCCCCTGGCCCAGATATTCCTGAGATGCTGGAGGCTGTTGTTTATGGACGATAACAAGCCACGTTTTCACTCCGTAAGCAAGTTCAGTTGACCCAACTATGCCGGATGTGCTTGGTCATATGTGGGTGGCAGGAAGTACAACAGAATGTGTGCTTACCCCTGATTGGATGAAGGTGAGAAGTACGCAGCCTTGTGGGTTTCCCATGTAGCTCATGGCCATTTTCTGGGAACCTTGGAATAAGCCTGGCCAGAGCTCATCATCCTGGCCAGTATTTAATTAAAGCTTGCTTCAAATCTGGCTCAAAATGTGGTCTTATTCTTGCCCAGT